ACCACTACCACTACCACTAGCACTAGCACTACCACTACCATTGCTATTGCGATTGCCATTACCATTTCGACGACGACGACGACCACTACACTACTATCACTACTACTACTACTACTACTACTACTACTACTACTACTACTAGGCCTGCTACTAGTACTAGGCCTGCTACTGCTGCTACTACTACTTCTACTACCACCACTGTCACTACTCCTGCTGCTACTCCTGCTACTGCTACTGCTACTGCTACTGCTCCTGCTCCCGCTCCTGCTCCCGCTCCTGCTCCCGCTCCCGCTCCTGCTCCTGCTACTGCTACTGCTACTGCTACTGCTACTGCTACTACTGCTGCTACTGCTGCTGCTGCTGCTGCTCCTGCTACTGCTACTGCTATGACAAACAAGTTCCAGTTGCTGCGCGATCCAGGCGAAAGCGGCTGCGACGCCCGAGACTGGAGTTGCCAATGCAGTGGCTGCTGCCGAACCAACGGATGCAGGCATGTCGGGTTTGAGGGGTTGGGGTGAAGGGGTGCGTAATGTAGGGGCCTTAATAATTGGAATAGGGTTTGGGGGTATATTCTACTATAACTATAATAAAGAATCCCCCAAATATTGAGGCCCCTATATTAGATGGGCGGGTTTACTTCAAGGGTTCTGTCAGCGCTGCTGAGCTAAGGTCACTAAGGCTTACTAAAGGTGACCATGAGAATTTCTTACAAGGGTTCTATAAGGTACTTGGAGGATCATGGGACTTAGTAAGTAAGGTTGTAAGTCCCTTAATTGGGGTTATAAGTGAATATAAGTACACTTACCTTTATTATAACCCCACTTACTAAGTCCCATGATCCTTCAAGTAGGGGTTCTGTGATGCTGGCCTTCTTCTTCGTGCCCTTGCGTAGCGAAACCCTCGAGGATGGCCTGGTTAGGAATGTAGGGTTTCGGCTTTATGGGTTTTAGGGCTTGCAAGGCACTCTGGGTCTAGAGTCTTCGTTAGGGGGCTTTTGGGGTTCTAGGGGAAAGGGCCCTGGGCCCTAGGATTTGGGATTTTCAGGAAATTGAGGAAATTGAGTGCTTCGACGCAATGCTGCTTCTGATGGTTTCAAGTTCCAGTGCATGGTTCTTGCCTTGCGCCTTCAAGTGGTTATACACATGTTGCAGGGCATTTTTGTGATTGGGCGCACTGAAGGCCCAGGAGATATAATGTACGGAGGAAGGCATGGACAATTTCTTTCTGGTGTTCTTGTTTCCTAGAATGGGTTTCCTTTGGATCTTAGGGCTTTAGTTACAGTTGACTTCAGGGTGCCATGAAAGCTTCTGTAATTGGCTTTAATTGAACAGCACTTGCGTGAGATGGCAAGACTCGCATTCCTGAGCATCTGTCTTGCTTGCCTTCAGTCGCTTGCTCTGTATTAGCCGGCAGGCTCCGGGCCAAAACTTACCTTCTAAACCTCGAGCCCCCGAACTCTAATCTCGCTCAAAGCCTAAACCTACACCCTAAACCCCAACCTCAAAGCATCGCTTGCAGAAATAGGGCATCGGCATAAAGCCGTGAAGGAGGGGGTTCTGGGTAGAGGGTTCGTGCAACGGGTGCTTCGCATCCTAGGAGCGAAACCTATCCCGCAATGCCGCAACACTCTAAACCCTGAACACCACCACCCCCCCGTAATGAACGTGTTTTGTTAAGTACAACATTGTACTAACAACGCAACAACGCTACTCAAAATCGTCATAGTCGTAGTAATGATCGTAGTAGTACTAGTAGAAGTAGAAGAAGAAGAAGTAGTAGTAGGAGGAGGAGTAGTAGTAGTAGCAGTAGTAGTATCAGCAGCAATACTATTGATAATACTGGTAGCAGTAATATTAGTAATATTGGCCCTGTTTCCTCTTCTTTGCTATCGCCGCAGGGTGCCTGGGCCAGGGATGGGGCCCATAAGGTCATGTTTGGCACCACGGTGTGGCACATCACTCAGACTTCGTAGTCCATAAAAATGGTGATGTTGAGTGTGAACCCTGACACTGACCCTTGGCGCAGAACACAAGCTTTCCATGCGCAAACAGCTTGTCAGAAAGAGTTGGCCCTGGTCCTCGAGTAGCGTTTGGATTACCTAAATTACACCCTGAACCCCAAATTTATACCCTAGGCCCTAAACCCGAACGCTGAATCTGAACCGTTCCCCGGACCCTTAAACCGCCTTTTTGCAGAGCCTCTATGAGGATTTTTTGAGTCTGTTCCGGAGGCCCCAGCGCGGCGAAAGAGGTTCCACTGCTCCATTCCTGCAAGGAGGGTCGCTGCGCGAGTGCTCGGGTTTGATGCCTGGGGTGTAGGGCAGTGTGGTGTTGGAGTATGTTGGGGGTTTCTGATAATGAGGGGTACCTTATTTTGGGGTCCTTATAATAGGGATCCTACTATTTAGGGTACCATGTTAGGGTCCTCTATTTTCGGAAACCCCATGTGTCAGAATGAGTGCTTGTTCCGGCAAGCTCCGATGTGTGTCGGTACTTCAGCTGAGAGCCTTGGTGAGAGTAGTCCGTGCTCACCGGGGACACGATCGGTGAAAGAGCCCGAAAAGCCTCGTACCCACAGAGCCACAAAGTCGAGTAACCCTACAACCCTAAAGAGATGTGTGGGTTTAGGGTTTAGGGTTTACGGGTTACCCAACGCCGAGCTTTGAGCTTGAACCCCCCGGAACGCTTGGCCCTCCTGGAAGGTTTCCCAGTTCTTCCCTTGCTGATTCGTGCCCTCCTGCGGGAACCTTGAACCCGAAACCTTAAACCCTAAACCCGTACCTGGAATTCGTCAGCCTTTTAAACTGTTGGTGGCCGGAGCAGTTAGGCTCTTGCTACTGGTCTTACGGGCGTGGTTCTCAGTTAGTCAAAAATAACACACTACTTCGAAGACTAAGGGACAAAGAAAGAAACGACGCAAACATCGTGTGGAAACTTTGGCGACTTGCCGAGGAAGGAGGAGCCCCCTGCCCAGCGAGAGACGGGTGCCCTGAAGGAAGAGGCTTGTGCCATGTTGATGATTTCTAAACCCTAAACCCTAAACCCTAAACCCTAAACCCTACACCCTACACCCTACACCCTACACCCTAAACCCAACCCTGAGGCCCTGAACGGCCCGATCGCCTTCCGAAGCTCTACGTCCTAAATGCGTCGGAAGGCCGAAACCCTCAATCCGAGATCCCCCCTCCCCGCCTCAATCTCAATAGTATAGTGGCCTTAATAATTGGAATAGGGTTCTACTAAGACTATAATTATAACATGGACCACCCAAAAATAATTGGAAATTCTGTAAGCCTCTATATTACCGAAATCAGCGGCCCAACATCCTGAAGACCGGTTCAGAGGGTTGAGGGTCCCCCTAAACCCTGAACCCTAAACCCCTCAGACTCTTCACCCTAAACCCTAAACCCTAAACCCAGAATCCTCTGCCGGCAGTCCGAAGGATCCGAAGGCCTCGTTGAGCGGTGCTGCGACGTCCTCGGCGAGTGAAGCAGGTTGCTCTGTGGTTATAGGATCGGGCCGGCATTGGGGCCGGGGTTTGCGGTTGACACGGTTTAGGGTTTAGGGTTTAGGGCTGCTGTGTACGAGGCCTGCTGTAAAAAGGGTTTAGGGTTTTAGGGTTTAGGGTTTAGGGTTTAGCGGTTGAGGTAGAAGTTCCGTCTTATTGTTACTTCTCATGTCCAAATTCCAAATACACGAGGCCGAGCTGAGATGCCCCTGTTCCACGGATTGTCTTAGCACCGAGTGTCTTGAGTTTATGTGTCTTTCGATGATTTTCCTTACCGTGGATTCAACAGTCACACCTCTCGCCCAGCGCTTAGAAGCGCTGACACGCCAACCCCGGACCCGTAACCCCATACCCTGGAGGCCAAAACGGAAGACCATCCAAACTGTAATCCTTACGGTTTAGGGTTTAGGGTTTACCGAAACCTAAAGCTCTGCAACCGAACCCCCCCCACAAGCTGCAGGTGTTGTGCCGCCGGAGGAATCGCCGACGAGGTCGGCGCTCGCGGAGGGTATGGTTAAGGGTCGTTTGGGGTTCAGGGCTTTGGGCTTTTAGGCTTCCTTCCAGGGTTTTGGCTTGCGGACCTCAGGGTTCAGGTGACTGTGCAATGTGGACTTCGTGTGTTTTTTTGATTTTCTGCCTGTCCGCATGTCTTGAGATTTAGGCTTTAGGTGTCATGGCCGCTTGGCAGCTGTTCTCCAACATGGTTAAAGTAAAGGCTAAACGTTCTCTTAAGTAGAACCCCTGAACACTAAACCCTCTGTGGGAGCCAAGAACTCCTTAAACAAACTCTGAGCCCTGAACCTTTCCTTAGAACGGTTTAGGGTTCAGGGTTTTTAGGGTTTAGGGTTAGGCTGGTTTCACATTCAGGTATGCATACTTTTTTGTGCATAGGTAACTGTAGGTTGATGGCCCAACAAATGAAACACTCAAAGGCTCACAGCCCCAACCCCTTGCAGCCCGAAACCCTGAACCCCCTAAGAACCCTAAACCCCTAAACCCTAAACCCGAAACCCTGCGCAGGAAACGCCAGGAGCCGCCCGTGATAGAGTTACCCAGCACGCCGCGGGAGACGCTGCTGAAGGAAACTTTCGAGGTTAAGGGTTTAGGGTTTCGGGTAATTAGGGCTTAGGGTTTAGGGTTTCCGGTCAGAGTTTTAGGGTTTCGGGTTCAGAGGTTTAGGGTTTAGGGTTTAGGGTTTCGGGTTCAGAGGTCTCGGGGCTTCGGGCTAGTGATTGTGGTGAAGTGTTCGCCCTGGCGGAGTCGCCGCAGGCCAGTTGCAAGAAGGGCCGTTAGGGTGTCTTCGGTGATGACTGGAAGACTGGATTTTTGTTTATGATTTTTCGGAATCGTGCCTCAGAACTTGCGGGTAGACGCAAGTCGAGCTATATTCCTTTAATCCAGTTCAGGATGATCCCAAATCCTAAATCCTAAACCCGTGCTTAGTTGTAGTGCTGTCATACACAGGCTTGTCTGGATCCTTGCCTGCCTTGTGTGAGTTGCCAGAGTCGAAACCCTAAACCCTCAGAGCCTTTAGCTACCTCGGACCTCAGAAACAGCGACAGGACCTCAGGGGCTTGCTCCACTTCCTTTGGGCCTCACGGCTGTCAGGAAGGGGTTCAGGTACATGCCTGGAGCATTCGTCAAGGGAGGGGTTTGGGGTTTGGGCAGTACCAACAGGGCGTAAGCAGAGTTTCTAACCTTGGGGGTCTAGAAAGTGGGAATTAGCACATCATACAACCGCTATGCGTTCAAGCAATCATGCTTGCTGCTACTCTTTGTGGATGCTGTTTTTACTAAAAGGTGCTGTATGCAGGGGCTTGAGCAAGGGACATGATTTTTTCGCCCTTATCCCCAAACCCTACAACCCTAATCCTGAAACACCAAACCCCACACCCGAATCCGAAAACCTAAGACCGTAATGTCGGGGGCAGAATAATTAAGATAGGACATTAGGCTCCTTCATGGTATAATTATAGTAAGAAGCCCTAAGGAGCAATATTGGTAACGTAATTATGTAGGCTTCTCTAAAAGCGCCCTGGGTCGCACGTAGGGCGGGGAGGTCTGCTTGAAGGATCATGGGACTCAATAAGTAAGGTTTTAAGTAATTGGGGGTAATAAGTGAATAATATGCCTTGTTTAGAACCTTACTTACTAAGTCCCATGACGCCCCAGCTTCCACGGGGTTTATGGCTCTGAGATTGCTTGTGGCATATTCCAGGTCAGAGAAGCTTTTGGGTGCACGTGGAGCTGGTTAGTCCTCTATTATAAGGTTCGGAATGATTAGTACTCGTGATGATATCCCTCAGATTCCCTTGATACAATGTGAGGGTTGATAAGACAATGTAGCCCTCTATATATATATATATAAATATAAATATAAAAATATATATATATATATACACAGATTGATATATGTATGTATGTATATATATATATAAATATGTACCCTATTCTCTATATTCTGCGGGTGGGAACATATTTTTCGGAATTCCACATCTGCACACTCCCAACCCGAACCGCGCAACCCTACACTTTCACCCTGCACCCTACACCCCAAACCCTAAACCTAAACCCTAAACCCTAAACCTAAACCTAAACCCTAAACCCTAAACCTAAACCTAAACCCGAAACCCGAAACCCGAAACCTAAACCTAGACCCTAAACCCGAAACCCTAAACCCGAATGCCAAACACAGGAACCCTTCACTCGGAGTTTAGGCCTTAGCGTACTGTAGGGGCCTTAATAACTAGAATAGCTTGGGGCACATCATACAGCAACTATTATAAGGAACCCCCGAAAACCCTATTCTAATTACTAAGGGCCCTGCATGATCCTGCAAGCTTCAGGTTCACGACGGCGCCCTCGGTACTGGTATCTCCCTGTTCGATCGCAGCGACAGTGAAATCTGCAGCGACAGGGAACTCCTTGCAGGACTGTGTGACACTTGCAATGTCCGTGCCAGGGGGTTTGGTGGGAAGAAGGCCGTCTGAACCCAGAAAAGAACCCATGTGATAACAGGCCATACAAATCTGCGCCTACTGCAAAAACATCCTCCCCCCTGAACTTGCATGCTTAGAGGCTATTGGTGTTTCTTATCAGGAGCAGCTGCAGGGGGACAGCCGGAGCTGAATTTCGATGACTTTTTCGATTTCGCACGTGCGCTGCAAACTCGGCGGAAGTTGGGTTCGTAATATAGGGATCGGAATAGGATCCAAATAATATCCCCTTACAGCCCTTAGTATAACTGTAGTATAATCTCCAGGCAAACCCTATTTTCAGGGTAATTGTTGCTTTGTGCGATTCGTGCTACTGGGGCCAGTGCTGTTGCTGTAACGATTTCTACGAGGTTATGCTCTTGAATTAAGCCACAGGGGATCCAGTGCAGCCACCAAGCACGACATGAAACCCATGGGGGACGCAGGCCGTAGGATCTTGGCGACAGACAGAGCAGGTCTGTACATGCAAGGGACGAGGTGACTACTATGAATGCCATGCATGATTGCTAGTAAGAAAGAAGCCTCAAGAATTGCCAAGAGTACTGTGGGGGTCCTTACTACAAGTATCGTATAATCTGCCCCAAACCCTATTTTATTTATTACGTAGTGACTTGGGCCAATGCAGGAGGGCACCACGAGGTTACTATAAGGGAACAAGAAGGGAACAAGCAGGTGGGTACTATGACGTAACAATACCGGAACTATAAGGTAAGCATAAGGGAACTATCAGGGTTACTATACAATTACAGTAGGGCGTGTGTCGAGAGGTTCAATTTGGCCCTGCCTTGGGCCGCAGTGGGTTGAGATTGGTCTGGAAGGCCCTCTGATGAGTTTAGCTTTTAATGATTCCCAAACCCTAAACCCTAAACCCTAAACTACGCACAAATCGAGAAGAGGTGCTCAAAAAAAAACCCTAAACTAAAACCTAAACCTGAACCCTAAACCCTAAAACCTAAACCCTAAGCCCTAAACCCTAAACCCTAAACCCTAAACCCTACACCCCATGCAAGCCCGAAAGGACGGCATGACAGCGCCGCCCAAGCACTTGAAGGGTCGGGGGACTTAGTAAATGGTTATTCTATATATTTATAAGTACTATAACCCTTTTAGGGTCCCTTTTAAGGTACTTATAAGTACTATAACCCCTCTTAGGGTCCCTTTTAAGGTACTTATAAGTCTACTTATTACCTACTTACTAAGTCCCCCGACCCTCCAAGCAGCCAGGCCAGTCACCCACGTCGTCCACGGCAGAGCTGGCTCGCTCTGGAGCCACGCGCCCGGACGTGGGTGTGCGGCTTAGGGGTGTTGGGTTTAGGGTTTAGGGTTTAGGGGTTTAGGGGTTAGGGTTTAGGGGTGTAGGGTTCAGGGTTTAGGGTTTAGGGCGGTTTAGGACGTTCAGGGCTAGGGGTTGAAGGATGAGGGACTTTTGGTACTTGAGTAGGCTAGAGGTGGTCTGAAACCCAAATTAGGTCGACTGGACTTCTTTATAGCCTACTTGCTAGGTCCCCTAATCTATAATCCTCTAGTCATGGCTGTTGACTCCCTAAAATCCCTAGACCCTCAACCCATGGACATTGCAATGGCCTTAAACCCTAAACCCTAAACCCTAAACCCCAAAACCCTAAACCCTAAACCCTAAACCCTAAACCCTACACATGTCTTCGGCTTGGTCTCTGTGGGAATCCACCCCAGGCGGTTTTAGGGTTTACCCTTCATCTGACCAAAAGAGAAGCTCCGTCAAATGGCACGGTCTGTCGGAATTTCGACAACCATCCAAGTCTCAGAGGTACGCAGAGACTCCAATATCCCTTAATTAAGGAATATATCTTAAATCATATTGAGGATCCTACTATAATTTAAGGAATACTCCTTAATTAAGGAATATTGGAGTCTCTGGGTAGTTGCAACCAACACGCCCTGCCCCTAAAGCCTCAGCCCTACGCCCTGAGCCCTCACGGGAGTGTAGGGTTGAGCCTCAACCTCAACCCGACGCCCCTGTTCCCCTACAAACCCTAAACCCTAAACCCTAAACCCCTAAACCCTAAACCCTAAACCCTAAACCCTAAACCCTAAACCGTAGCCCTTGGAGCGCAGGCGACGTGACCAGCACGTGGCTTCGCATGGAGCTGCCAGTCGGGGCCTCAAAGGTCGGAAAGGGATCTGCAGGTGTCCCGCGGGCTTTATGAGGGGGGTTTGCAAGGTTTTCTCTGGGTTTTGCGGTGTGTTTAGGGCTACTGTGGGGATTATGGCGCTGCTATAAAAGAATGGAGGATCGCACAAGCGTTCCGTTAAGGTCTGTTACAAGGGTTCTGTAAGGATTCTACACCTCGTTGCAAGGACGCACCGCGGTAGCTGTTGCATTGGTCTTGTGGGTGTCTAGGGCTAACCCATCTAAACCCCAAGCCCTAAACCCTAAACCCAAGGCATGTCCGATAGTGAGTGCTGAAACCCTAAACCCCACACCCTCAACCCTCAACGTGACTGAGTAGAGGCACAGGGGCGGGATGTCTTTTTCGGGAGCCTCCTTACAGATACTGATAGCTTTGTGGGCTGCTGTATGCGAGAGCTTCCCCAATGAGGGGCATCTCGTTGTCGGCGAGGCTCCTAGAGTGAGCCGCGCATAGGCCAAACAAAGCTGCCTGCTCGAACAAGAGTTAGAGCCCAAAATGGTTGCAGAAGGCGCTTGAAGATCCTCAGTTGAACCCTATCCCTTTGTAGGGATATTTCCTTCCAAATTCTAAGCGCTGAGCCTAAAGCCTGAACCTCTAGCCTGAAGCCTACACCCTCAACCGTTAACTCCAAACCATGAATCCGGAACCCTAAACCCCAACCCTAAAGTTCATGCTCGGGGTCGTTCTTGTGCGTCTTGAGCAAGGGTCATCGACCCATCGGCCCAGCTTTGCTGAGAGGTCAGAGGTCTGGGTTCGAATATGCCTCAAAACCTGTAAAGGTTAACCATTGTCTATCTTTATATATATATATAGATACACCTATCTGTGCATGTATATGTATATATGTATGCATATATATATATATAGATATCTACATTTGTATATATATATATATATGTATATAATATGTATGTAGATATATACATACACACACACCATTTTAAACCATTAGCCGCTTCCCACTGTTATGAACCTCCCTCCTTAATCATAAACACACATTGGGGCGAATCCACCCGAAATCATCCCTGCCCTTTAGCTCCTATTTTGAATTACGGGGGAGGGTTTCGAGGCTCCAAATATCCTTGGAGCACAGTAAGAGCAAAAGCAAGAGCAGGAGCAAGAGCAAAAGCAAAAGTGGAGCATTAGCAAGAGCAGCAGCAAGAGCAAAGCAAAAGCAAGAGCGGGAGTAAGAGCAAGAGCAGGAGCAAAAGGGGGAGCAACAGCGAAAGCAGCAGGAGCAGGCGCAGGGGACGCAGCAGAAGCAGGAGCAAAAGCCAGCGCGGGACCAGGAGCCGGAAGCAGGAGCAAGAGCACGACCCCTCAGAAGTGCCAGTAGAGATAAACATAACCCCTAAGAATAACAATGCTTTCCGAGTTTCTATTCGGGGACCCCCCCGTTTAATATTAGGGGAAAGGGACTAAACCAATATAAAACCCTAAACCCTAAACCTTAAATCCTAAACCCCCTGAGCCCTGAACCCTAAACCCGACCCCAGAGGCCGCCACTGTCGCCGACAGCACGGAGGTGACGAACGCAGGAGGCCGGCAGCACCGGAGTGTCCAAACAAAGCCTAAATCCTGAATCCTAAGCCCTAAACCCTAAACCCTAAACCTAAACCCTGAACCCTAAACCCTGAACCCTAAACCCCAAACCCTAAACCCTAGTAGAGTGTAGGGCCTTGTAGGGTTTGGGAACCGTGGCTCTGAACCCTACGCCCCGAAACCCGAAACCCTGAACCCTAAACCCCTAAATTCTGAATCCAAGACCCCAACCTCAAATTCTTTAGCCCCGGGATTCGGATTCTGAGGTTTTGGCTGTTAGGAGGGCATTGGCGTGAGTTGCGCAAGTCGGGTGACCTGGACCTTTCTATGACGGCCTGCACTGTATGGGCCTAAATAACCTATACTTTTTTGTGGGGGTTCCTTATTGTAATTATAGTATAATGGGCCCCAAAGCCCGATTCTACTTACTAAGGCCCCTATACTACTTGTTTGCGGCAGCAAGACATTTGTAAAAAAACGCAACGCGAGAAGCCGGGATGCTTGTCTAGGAATCGGTAGAGAGCCTCAGATGGTGTCTGGTTTATGGTTTAGGGCGTTTCGGGTTTAGGGTTTAGGGCGTTTAGGGTTTAGGGTTTAAGCATACCGCTAGAGGCACTTCAGAGAGACCTCGTTCAAAAACGGTTTAAGCAGCGCTGGCGATTTTAACCCGCAGCCTAAACCCGAAACAGCCGACACTTCTGCACGAGCCTTGCCTGCCTTGTGTGAGTGTAGGAGTCGAAACGTTGAGGCTAAGGATCTAGGGTTTAGGGTTTAGAGAGGGTTTTGGGGTAGGGATTTAGGGTTTAGGGTTTAGGGTTTCGGGTTTAGGGTTTAGGGTTTAGGGTTTAGTTTGGGGTTTAGGGTTTCGCGCCCTTCTGGCAGATTCCTGGAATCCCGGCCCGATGGTCACCTACCATGGGACGAGGCCCGACACGGCTTAGGATGCAAGCATCACAGTTCTGGTCGCTTGCCATCTTACACAAAGCTCTAGTTACAATAGAACCCTAAACCCTAAACCCTATCATATTGTGAGCTTACGCCGACTTATGCCAGCATTATAGTACTCCATAGCGGTGTAGAGAAGCATAGGAAGCCATAGCCCCAACGAGCAGTGGGTCTTCGAAGACCTAAACCCTAAACCCTTGAAGCTGATTTAGGTTTAGGCTTCAAGGGTTAAGAGTAAAGGGTTAAGGGCAACAGAGCAACCTGAACTCTTGATATAGGGGCATCGATAATTACCTATACTATTTGTTGTGGCTCCTTATTATAGTTATACTATAATATACCCCAAAACCCTATTCTAGTTATTACGGCCCCCTACATTAACCGTTAAAGCCTTAACCTAAACCGGCTTCACGGGTTCCGGCAGGCTCGGAGCCTAGGCTTAGGACTTCTCGTCGAGAGTTGTGGGTTGAGCAGGGCTTTGGGTTTAGGGTTTAGGGTTTTTAGAGGCCTGGCCAAATGCCAATATCATTCCCCAAGGTTACGTGTAATAATAATATGATAGACTACAAAATCCTGTTCTAATCATCAACGCCAAAACCCTAAACCCTAAACCCTAAAATCCCGAAACCCGAAACCCTAAACCCTAAACCCGAAACCCTAAACCCTAAACCCTAAACCCTAAACCCTAAACCCTACAAGAACGCAACCCAGAGAGCCCAATACCCCTTAGGGTTTAGGGTTTAGGGTTCGGCTGATTGGAGAGAGCTCCGGGTTCAAAAAAGGGTTTAGGGTTTAGGGTTTAGGAATATACCGTAAGGCCCCTATAATATAAGGCATATTCCTTAATTAAGGGGTATTGGGTTCTCTGGGAAGACGTAAACCCTTGAGCCCTGAACCCTTGAGTCCTAAACCCGTAGCCCCTGAGCCCCAAAGCCTTAAATCTCCAAGCGCTACAACCCATATCTGAAACGCTATAGCCTACACTTAACTTGGGACCCTTAACCTGGACCCCCACCAGGCGATCCCAGGTCCTTTCATGAAGGAATAGACTTGAAATTATAAGACACAGTCCTCCATAATTTCAGGTGTATTCGTGATTAAGGGTATTGGGTTCTTTGGTCAAGAAGCCCTAAACCCTGAAACCCTAAACCCTAAACCCTAAACCCTAAGCCCTAAGCCCTAAGCCCTAAGCCCTAAGCCCTAAGCCCTAAGCCCTAAGCCCTAAACCCTAAACCCTAAACTAACCTTGTGCTACCCTATGGAGCTGGAGGAACCTAAACCCGAAGCCTGATTAGGGTTTAGGGTTTAGGGTTTAGGGGTTTAGGGGTTTAGGGGTTTAGGGGCTTTGGGGTTTAGGGTTTAGGGTTTAGGGTTCAGGGGTTGAGGTAAAAGGGTTTAGGGTTTAGGGTTCCCGAAGTCCAGCGGATTTAGGATTTAGGGCTTAGGGCTCACCGCCGCATCTTTCATGGCCCAGGAGCTCGGACGAGGTTTGCGAAGTTAGTTCCGGATCAGGGACTAAGAGTTCCGGGTTCTGGATACCGTGGCTTTTTTGGGTTAGGAAGGGTTTCATGTGGGGATCGGTTAGTATTTGAGGGTCCTTGTCTTTCAAACCTTTCCAGCACATCTGTAAAATTCCTTATTCGGCAGGGGCCTTTGCAGGTCATTGCAGGTAGCCCTCTTGACTAAAGCCCAGGATTTTGCTTGAACATCTGCTAAGTGAACTCCCTATACAACCCTGTAAAGTTCAAGAAAAACCTTGCAAAGGGTTTCGGGTTTAGGGTAGAGGGTCTCTGGTTTAGGGTTCCTCAAACTCGGTAGTGGTTGTGTTACCACTTCTGGCGCGCGCGCGCGCGCGGGATTCTCGCAACATGCCGCCGTCGCTCTGGAAAGGCGAGAACTCTCTTGAGCATCCTCTGCCCCTTGGTCCACCTCGATGTTTGGGCCGGAATCAGTAGTACCCGCATCTGGTATAGTTTCTGTATATTTATACCAAAATGAACCCCATTCTATATATAGAGGCTTGAAGAATTAGTTAGAGTATTTGGTTTTACTCGGGTGTAATCTCTAAAAAATGTATTGAACTGTATCCCAAACGCCGATTTTTGAGGTCTTTATCACAAGCTGATGTTGCAACATTATCTGTTTCCGTCCTCGCAAAGAGCTCCTGCTTGGTTGCTGGACATTTTCTCTCCTAATCCCTAATCCCTAAACCCCCTATACCCTAAACCCCAAACCCCCTCCACAAGTCGTTCTTGCAAGCAGAACGCATTTTAACCGTGAGCCCTGAACTCGAAAACTTTCTCTCTTAAACCCAAAGCATCCCAAAACCCAAACCCTAAACTCGTCTCCAACCCCCAAGCGAGATCCCCTCGAGCCCAAGAGCTTTCCCTGCAATCCCACAGCATTGCCCCCGCAGTAATCCTCATAGCCCCCACTTTGTTGCAAACCCTACCTACTACGTCAAAAGCAGTCCAAGCACAAGGCCTGCGCATGATGGCGATGCACTAGTTGTGACCGTGCTACGCGGCCTGACGCAGGGCGCAGTCTCCAGCAGCCTTTGTTTCGGGTTCGGGATTGGGTGTATACACCTTACGAGTTAATATAGGGGCCTAGACAGTCACCAAGACTATTTTGGGGGTTCCTTATTATGATTGTAGTATAATGGCCCCCAAAACCCTATTCTAATTATTAAGGCCCCGACATTAAGTTGTTTGGGTTTGGGGTGGGTGCAGGCCTTAGTTTCAGCACTGGTTCACACGGCTTAAGGTTTAAATGGGATGAGGTAGCTTTGGCAGTGTTGCTTGGCAGCCCTTCAAAGCCCCAAGAGCTGAACATGATGGCAGTTCTTCAAAGGACAGGCGATTTGCACGCCACGCTGGAGCTCGATGGTGCATTCTCCATAGACCAGCTAGTGCTCTGTCAACATGGGAGCTTTACGCTTTTTGCTTCCCTAAACCTTAAACCCTCAACCCTAAACCCTAAGCTTGTCGTGATGAAGGAGAGCATGTGAGCACAACTGAGTGAGGGCTGTAAAGGCTTGTTGGTGATGTGAGGTGGCAGCTCTCCTATGCACCTTTTATTTCGATGCACACCCGAACTGGGTAAGTCTCGCGTGGAGAAGAGGGGGTTACTGCACCAAAAGAACTCGTGAGCAAGGTTTCAAGCATGCAAGGTCTCGGGGGCTTTGGCCTAAAAACCCACAACCCTGAAGCCAGGTTGCTGTGCCAGAAGGTGTAGCCACTTCGAATCACAGGCCAGTGGCATGACATGAATGATTCTACGTGCCATGCTGTATGCATATATGCATTTATACACATATACGCACACACACACACACACATATATATATATATGTATATATATAGAGTGTATATATATACACATACATATGCATATACACGTCTGTAGACATGTGTATACGTACATGTCATATATATATATATATATGTATTTACGTGTGCACACACATATATGCATATACATATACATGCACAGTATACATGCACACATTCATGTATGTAAACCTATATATATATATATATAGATACATATGTATATATAGAGATAGACAGACAAGACATATGGATATGTAGGTATGTCTGTATGTATGTATGTATGTATGTATGTATGTATGTATGTATGTATGTATGCTATGTATGTATGCTATGCTATGCTATGCTATGCTATGCTATGCTATGCTATGCTATGCTATGCTATGCTATGCTATGGTATGGTATGGTATGGTATGGTATGCTATGCTATGCT